GATTGCTATAAATCCACAGAAACCAAACAATGCCTACATGATTATCAAGGGTAAATGTAGCAAGGAAATGAGAAAAAAAACACTGATTAATTAGTGTAAAGTAGAATATTCACATCTGTGGACTTAAAACCTTAGAGATCTAACATTAGACATTAGATAGCTTGTCATCTTGTCTTGTCAGATGTAATTGACAGTTGTATTAGCAATACAGCTGACATTGTCAGGCTGCATTGATCTGTTGCCAAAAGATAATTTTTTTTCACTTTTACTGTATGTTAAGACAAAGAAAATGCCACTTGATTGTTCTGTTAATTCTCTGTACGTAAGTCAAATTCAATAACGGAAACTGGCCAGTTAACCATAAAACAATTTATTTCTGTTTTAGTGTGGCAGTTATTGTGAAACTTGAAGTTCAATTAAATAAAACATTTCTCTTGCCAGATAATCAACGGGTTTGGACACATTGCCACATTTGTAGTATTCACAAAAGAAATTTGTCCTTTAGTGAGAATACATTATTGGTGCCAATAATAGTGCCCCCACTCATTCTTCAAAACCCGTAAAAGTGAAAAGATTTGCAAATTAAATCTGTAAAATACACTATTTGATATCTATCCTCTTAAAAATATTTAAATTAATGACATTTAATTTCGTAAGAATTGAAGTATAAATATTAGTAGCCATGTCGTTTCAACTGAAAGAAAAACAATACTGTTATAGAAATGTAATTCAATTGAAAGCAGAACAAAGGATAGCATTTTATTTGTAATATTAATTAAATTACATAAAACTATGTAATGAAACTATAATTACAGTTTTAAAAAGATAATGTGTCCCAGTAAGTTAGAATACTCAAGGGAAATCCTTCAGTACTGCAGAGCACTTCATTTGGTGCAAATTTTAATTACTCTTCAGGGTTTACTTTTACTTTTGATCAAATAGCAGGTAGTAAAGGAGATGACTGTCTTACCTTTGCAAAACAAAATTTAGGTTGAACATATTGCCCCAATAATGTGTGCTTTTGAAAAGCCTCTAATACTTGTGATGCCTAGCCATTCAAGGCTTTGAGACAAGTGCTGAACAATTGGATACAATATGGCACAGAGTCAAGGGGCTGAAAGGCCTTTTTCTATGCTGTAGGCCTCTATGACTCTAACACAGCAAGAATGTTCCATCAGGTGTCCCTACAGGAATGGGGAGAAGGCTGAAGGCATGTTCAAGAAACTAGATGTGAACAGAGATGTTTGGCTCAATAAAGTTTCAGCGGATGGAATATGGTCACAAAGGGATTTGTAATAAAGAATGAGGTAATAGTGGTTGGGAAGTGGAGATCAGCAAGAACATGAACCACAAATTATGGGATTAACACTGACAATCAATGCAGATGGCAGTTTCTGGATGATGTGGAGTTATTTATAACGGTCTTGGAAAGCCATTAAGAAAGGCTTTCTGAGAGGGAACTAAGGTCTGGTTATGGGTTTCTATTAGCATTAGAATGAAATGAGATAGTGGAGTTTTTTTTAAAATGTGCTCACAGAGTGTAATAGATCCATTGTTCTTGTGCCAGCACTTTTTATTAGAAGTCAGACTGGGTTCCACTCCTACAGAAACAAAAATTGCTGGAGAAACTTGGCAGGACTTGTAGCATTTGCAGAGAGAAAGCATAGTTCATTCTGAGGACATAGATTCAAATCACACCAAGACAGCTGTTTGATTTTAAATTCTATTAATAAATCTAAAATTGAAAGTTAATCTTGGGTAACGGTTACGATGAAACTAGAATTGATTATTGTAAAAAAATCCATTTGGTTGGCTAATGTTTTTTGGCTAAGGAACGCTGCCTTGTCTGCATTTGACTGCAGACCTTCACCAATGTGGTTCAAACTTAACTCCCCTCTGAAATGGCTTGGAAATCCAGTCACTTTAAGGGGATTGCAACAAATAATAGTCTTGCCAATGATGCACACATCTTATGAAAGAATACATTTTTAGAAAAAGGACTTGTTAATGTTGAGCTGCAGGAAGTTTGTTGCTTCATATCAGTCAGACAAACAATCAACCAGCATAAGGGCAGTCCTGATGATACTGTGGTAAAGCTGTTATTCCAGGAGTAACAATTGCATTATTTTTCAGTCAGTAGTAGATCTCGCTTTATAATCTTGTTAAATGAAAAGTACTGAACATTAAAGTAATTATTTAAACAAAAGTGTACAATGAATTAAGACTGTGATGAAGTATTTCATTCCCTTGAAATCTAAACAGACCAAAAACTTATTTTGTTTTGAGTGAGGTTCAAAATGAATATTGGTTCTGAACACACCAGTGACAAGAATGTCAATTTCTCTTCTCCAGAACAGTAAAATTCAAGCCTGAAAGGTATTTTGACACTTTATGCACCACTTCTAGCTGATACGCTAGTTTGTTAAAGATAGCTCAGTGATCCCAATGAATGTATGAGATTGTGAGTGAGTGCATATTTTCATTTGTTTCAGGAAGAGCACTTATAAAATAGTAGAAGCATGTTTTCAAGATATGTACTCAGACTCCACAAAGGTTGCACAGCACAATAAAAGTGACATACTTATTTTAAACCCACATAAAAAGCTTCTTACTAAGTTCCTCTTAAAACTAATAGTTAACTGAGTCACATAACTGAGCATATCCAAATAGAAATTGAAATCATAAGGCATCTTAGGGAAGACAAAATATGATGAACTGTGTAGTTATGTTTATTCAAATAGAGCAGGATTCCTTCAGTTTACTTGAGGATTAAAATGATATCCTAATTAAAAAGGAATATATTTGTTAATAAGTCAAATCATTTCTTTGGATACATCTCAAAGCTTTTTGAAGGGCATTTGATTCCGTAAGGGGTCCCCTACTGAACTGATGGGAATTCCCTGCCACAAGCAGCTGAGATCCCTGTCCACCAACATTATCTTAACCTATATGTCTTTGTGGCATCTCTGTGAAATTCTCACAACTTACATTCCTATCTGGTTTTATGTTGTTAACAAAAATGTATTGTTTTACATCTCTTTGTAGATGTTATTAACATAACATAGATTGCAAATAACTGAGGCCCTCTTATTGGTCTGGTGTCATAGCCTGCCAATTTGTAAGTGCCCCTTTAATGTCTACTCTACAGTGTTAGATTTTCTAACTTCCTCTCTGCTACGACTGTTTTAGAATCTTGGGAATTTTGGAAAATTATAGTCAATGCATTATGTATCACTGCAGCTAACTGTTAGATTCCTAGCACGTAGGTCATCAGATTCTGGATTTAGTCAGATTTTATTCCCTTAAGTTTCTCCAACACCTTTTTTGCTCCACATCCCAAGTTCACAATTGCTGGACGTCAGACTGGCAGAGCTACTTTCTCAAAAACAAAAATAGAGATTGCTGGAAAAGCACAGCAGGTCTGGTAGCATCTGTGAGGAGAAATCAGAGGTAACTTTTCGGGTCCGGTGACCCTTCCTCAGAACTAATATCTCAAAGGTGGCTTCCTAATGGGGCATCTCCATGCTTGCCATTCCTATTGAGGATGATGTAAGAACTTCAGATGTGGCCAGTTTAATGAAAAGGTCAAAAGCTCTCAGGCCTCGTTGGTGCCAGTAGGAGCTGCAGAGGCTGTTGTGAACATGTGAGTGCATCTCAAAATTGAGGTTAATAAACAAGGCAAAGACCAGGATGGCTGCTCAGTTTCTGGAATCCTATCATTTTCACAGTTCATGATACTTCTGTAGGTTCACTGGTGCCGCAGAGGAACACAACAATGAAAAAAAGCATAAACAAATACAGGATGAGCTGGCTATTCAGGTTCTCAAAGGAAGATCAGAGCCTTTGGAGCGTCCTTTGAGTTGTGGCAGCATGCTATGATCTTCACAACATTGGAATCAGGAATAAAGAGACAGTAGATATCCCAGAAGATGCTAGAGTGATACAAGAGGACAATGCTGATACTGTAATTCCAGGCACATGAAGACCGGGATGCTTATGCCACTGTAATTGTTGTTATAGACAATTTCACAGATGAATGGAGCACTCTTATCCATAAGTCTCACTTTATCAAAGCTCTCCCTGCTCTCACTAAATTCTCACTGATCTATGTAAAATCTTTACTTCACACACTAAGTTGTCACATTCTATTGCTGAGCCATACAATTAACACATTGTCACGGGATAAACAAGACAAAGACCAGGATGGCTGCTCAGTTTCTGGGATCAAAACACCAAGGAAATTTCACCTCCAAAGTTTAGTTATAACTGTTTACATAAAAGAACATTTGTTCTGTCACAATATACAGTTATTGTGAATAGTTTTTCTCTGCCCTGTTGTAACTTTTCTTTTCGTATCACCTTAGATGTTGCAAAATGTTATCAGCACTTCGGACAGATGTCATTCTACTTTCTGGTTCATCCAAGAATTGAGATGCACACAAATCAACTGTTTAACAAAGGCTACTTTACAGCCAGGTCCTGAAAAGATAGTTGGCAATGTTAAAATACACCTCCCTCTGCAGCTTTCACAAGGAGTGATTACACCCTCTGGGCCAGCCAGCAATGCCCACATCTCACAAATGAATAAAAAGAAGTATTGAGTACAGGTTTCCAGTTACAGGCTATCAGTAGGAGAAGAAACCTCACAAAATCAGACAGATCTTTAAACATTTGGGTAGGAGTCATTGAATGTCCTTTTAATTCCTCTGAGATGCAGCATGGTAGAAATTCGCAATCCAGTTGATGATAGTATCTCTGAGTTTACCAAAACTTCTATTTTCTCAATCAGTGGGTGGAATTTTAATTTTGGCGATAGCAGAACAGAAAATAATGGATTGGCCACTCATTATTCACCTCTGCCAAATAATGGTTCCATTGAAACTGGCAGAAAAGAAACACAAAACAGGTGGCCCATGAAATGTTGCCTGATAAAATCTGCACTTCAGGACCAGGTATAGGCAGCATTTCCAGTTCAGCATTAGATAATTTGGAAACTTGTCTTTTCTACAACCAGTTCCTCTACCAAGTGCCTGCTCAGCCCATTAACTGCTTAAAGTCCTCCAGTTACAGAGGTTATACTTTTGTTCTGCCATCGTATTAATTTACAGGGACAGCCCTGCTCTAAGGAGCATATCTGCTCTTGTGAAACATCAGTTTTGTTCTGACAGTATTATTTAAATTAGAGGACCATAGAGTTTCTGACAAGTTCAGGGTCCTATGATTTTGTCAGATATAGATGCTGCCCTTCAGTACTTACATCAGCAGAGCAAAGTTGCAGAAATTTCCAGCCCTTATGTTTTTGTCTCACCAGAATGTATCACTCCCTTTCACTTCACTTCCTTTCAGGGCTTGATTGTGATTCTCACTGACACCTTGCTCTCCTGTTACCAGCTCAGGTTGCCTGCTTTTTGCATTTTAGTCAGCTTTAAGCTGTATCACTTACTCCTCCAATTCCAGTGGGAATAACATGTCTTTGGCTTTAGTGTCTTCTCTGCCATCACTACCCCGCATGCCACAATTTACAGCCTGTTATATCTTCTTCAAGCCCATTGTCCCTCTCATTTCACTTAATTTGTATACCTGTAATAATCTAATATTTACATTTTTTTTGTACTCAGGTGCAGAGATTACAATCCAATGTATCACTGAACCCAGACCTTTGTATTAGAGAGGTAAGCATTTAAGAAGTCAACTCATGTTAACTTATTATGGGTTCTTTTTTTTTAAGAATAATAATTTTCAACTTTTAAACTTGTTAGGATAATTTGAATTCTTATATAAAGCATTCACAGGTTTGAATTTAATTCAAAAGTAATTCAAACCCACGTATAGAAAGCATTTTGTACAATTCTTTTTCGGAAAATGTAATTTATACTTAACTAAAAGGAATGGTAAAGTGTTGTTTCCAAGAATTAGAATTAAAAATATTAATTATTTAATCAGCCCTGGAATTTCATGTTTTCAATCAATTATAAAAAAAGTATGCCTACTGTTCAAGATACCTTTTATTTATGACATTTCAGTTCATGCATTGAATGGGTGAGTGCAAAATAGACTATAAATTTAACTCAAACATGCATTTCTATCCTCAAAAATATGTTGGGCATCCGGGGCATTGTATTTCTTGCCCCTGTAATAAAGTTCTCTTCAAAAGAAAACCTTTCCTTGCCTCATGTCAAAGGAGAATCTATTTGCCTACCACTTAAAAAAATATTGCATTGCTTGACACAAAGGGACATTTTGTGATATTACACACTTTATCCTTCTGAACTGTATATATTGGAGAAAGTTATGCCTAAGATACCTCAAAAATTACCAAACAAACCTTTGCTTATCAGATTCACTTTGAGTTGTTCATTAACTGCTGCAGAGCATTTTTCAGCTTTCCTAGTACTTCATAAAAATAAGCTAGTATTCCTTTGGTTCAAAAATATGCTTACAAGTTATATTTGTAGTCCATATTTTTCTTTCTAAGTGTTGTGAACAGGCTTCCATTTTTTAATATTCTTTCAGTGGATGAAAGCCTTATTGGCAGCCCAGCATGTTTTTTTTCATCGGTGATTGCCTTTGAGAAGGTCAGCTCCTTTCTTGAACTGCTGCATCCATCTGCTGTAGATACACTTAAGGTGCAGTTGGGAATCAAGCAAGTCCCAGGATTTTGACCCAGTGACAGTGAAGAAGCAGTGATGTAATTCTAAGTCAGGATAGAGTTACTGTTTGGAGGGAATTTGCAGGTGGTGTTGTTTCCATACATGTATTGTCCTTACCTCTTCATTAGTCGCTGGATGTCTTGAGTTTGGAAGGGTGTTGGTGAGTTGCTGAAATCCATCTTGAATATGGTACTTTGTGTCAATAGTGGAGGGAGTGAATGGTTAAGCTGATGGATGGATGATGATCAAGCAGGCTTTTTTTTATGCACAGTGCCAAACTCCTTCAGTGTTATTGAAACTGCACTCATTCAGGCAAGTGGAGGCTGCTCCATCACAATATAGACTCATGTCTTATAAACGGTAGACACACTTTGTGGAGTCAGGAGGGGAGATACTTGCCACAGAAGTCCCAGACTCTGATCTGCTCTTGTACCCACTGTATTTATGTGGCTCATCCAGTTAAGTTTCTGGTCAATGGTAATTGCAAAATGTATTCATCAGTAATTCAGTGATGGTGACGCCACTGAATGTCCAGGACAGATGGTTAGATTCTGTCTTATTGATGTGGTCATTGTCTCATGCTTTTCTGGTGGATCTGTCACTTAACAGCCCAAACCTGAATGTTGTCCAAGTATTGTCGCATATGACTGTTCAACATCTGAGGAGCCACCTATGGGAATGCTCACTATGCTGTCATCAGGAAATATCCCCACTTCTAAGTTCATGATGGAGAGAAGGTCATTGATGGAGAGAAGGTCATTGATGATATAGCTAAAGATGTTGAGTCTAGGGCACTACCTTGAGGAACTGCTACAGTGAGATCCAAGGGGTGAAATGATTGGCCTCCAATAACCATCACTGTGATCTTTTCCACAAAGCATGGCTCCAACTAGTGGAGGGTTCTCTCCTGACTGAATGGATTAAATTTATCCTCTGTTCATGGACAGAACCTGCCTGGGTGATTTTCCACATTGTCAGATAGATGCCAGTGTTGTACATATATCCATTTGGGCTTGCAGTGAGGCTTTCAGCTATTCTTTTATGTCCCATGTTAGGAGTTAGACATATTGCAGAGGATGGAGGGTCAGGTCATGTGTTGTAGAGTGCAGTGTGGTCAGTCAGTCTGATTGTGGAGGGAGGTTCAGTAGCAGGGAGGTTAACAATTTAACATAGTCAATTTGGTGGGGTGGAGAGAAGCACTCTTGATGATCATGGGCAACAGGCAGCACTGTAAAATTACTTATCTATGCAATTCAGTTCACCCCCTTATGTAGTCTTCTTTTTGCAACCTTCCAAAATGCAGCTGACAAGCCAACTACCGCAATCCCCCATCTGCTCCTTATTTCACATGATTCATTTCTGTTAAAACTGGAAAGGATTGAGGTCTGTGTAGGTTTCAGACTTCTTCTTTCCAAACTCCTATTCCCTCCTCCCCACTGTTAAAATTACCCCAATTATTCAGAATACCATCAATCCCTTAATTATTATGTATTTCCAATTTCTTGCCCTGCCCAGAATAATCATGGGAATAATTTAAAATCATATACATACTATTCATGCAACCTCTTATATTCCCATCACTAATTTTCCTCCAAAGAACTGAGCCACTGTACAGCTCCACGGAATATTTTATACTTTATTCCTTTCTTTCAATTCTGTTTATAATGAGATATTTCTCTAGCTGCTTGTTCAGGCCGTTAATCAATATTGCATTAAGTAGAGTTGATGAGATGTTGTCTTTGGTTACCAACTGCACTGTGGGAAAAGATGTTCTTTTAATCTCCAACTTCATTAGGGGTTTGACAACATTACATTCACATCCTCTAGTCTTGCAGTCATCAGTTAGTTTGAGTATCCTGTTAATATTCCACATCATATAACTTTCCACACTGTAATTCTCAGTATTCCTTTCCTGAATAAGAATAATTCCAACTGTAACATTATATTTCCATAACGAGGATACCCATAGACAATAGTATGAAAATTGTATACGGGCACTTGAACAAATAAACAAACATCTCTATGTCCAAAGTCTTTCCCATATGGAAAATAAAATGTATGCTTAAACTCTTGAGAGCCTAAAGTTCTGATCATTCTCTTGCACCGATGAAGGCAGCCTGGAGGGGAACAATAGTATGGAGTTTACAGTGCATTAGGGTGGAAATCTGATGGAACTAAATAATTTCCTTCTTATTAACTACCACCTCCTACACCCTCAACATTGTCAAT